AGTCATTTTCATATGTTATGGAAGTATCCTTATTAAAAGAAATAGAAGGTAATAGTAATTCTATGTATTATTAAACACATTTAAATATTATAATTATACATGAAGTCGAAATATATCATTTTTGATATCTGAAATAGTCGAAATGGTCAAAATCATTTTTTTTAATGATGTAGTACTGCCAATAACTTTATTTAATTTTTATAAGTAGTAAATATAAAAGTAAAAACAAAAAACTAATTTTAAAGTACTAGCTATCCCCTGTAGTTATATTACAAACCCGTTTGAATTAACCTATCATTGTCTTTTCCCTCTAACAGACCCACTAAATGCATATTTAATGACTACTGTTATTACCAGAAAAAGAAAAAAAAGAAAGTCAGTGCCTATCTAAAAATCTGTCCAAGAGTTACCATATATGTTTGCCTTGTGAATCTATAATTCCCAAATTAGAGATGTAGGTTTTTTAAGGGAGTGGTTGTAAACGTTTGCAAGCATCATGCTTGCGTTTGATTTATTTATTAATGCCTTTGAAAGTTCATAAGTAATGAGAAGTTTGCATCTGTATTTTCATACATTATCATATAGATTTTTAAAAAAGAAGATTAAGGAGTTCACTATAGTTGTATAACAACTATTTTTATTCTTTGTAATTTTGTGAATAAGTGAAATGAATTCACTGGGAAGTTAGTATTGAATGATATTTAAAAATCCATCTGTTGAGGAAAAAGGGGATGCAAAGAGTTCATCATAGGAACAGAGTAGTTCAGGTAAAGCGTCATGGTATAAGTTAGGGTTAAAGAGTTTTTTCAAATCAGTTAATAAAAGATGTTTGGTTTGTAAAATGATATTGTTGATAATTGTAGAGTAGGCTGAGCAAGACCACATATGAGTAGAAGTTTCAGTGTTAATATTGCAACCAACACAACACCAATTTTTATAGAGATCAGATCTTAATTGTTCTAATCAAAAGAGAGTAAGAAGTTCATTAACAAAAATTTTGATAATAAAGGATTTGAGTCGTGAAGTTTCAAAGGATGTTGATAAGAAAGGGGAGTTAAGGGTGAAGAACTGCCAAATAAGAGGCCAGTGAAAATTACTATAAGTATTAATATGATCATTCCTATTAAGATCTAAAAAAGCTAAAAAGTTGAAAGCTGAGAAGCGATTCTTGAAAAATTGACAAATAGAAGATTCAATATGAATATTATTGAAGGTGAAAATCAGAGATAATCTAGGAGTATGAACAAAGGAAGGAAATAAAGAAGGAAGATCATGACCAGCTTTAGCTAGTGAGTCAGCCATATCTATACATGAAGTTGAAATGAAAACCCAAAAAGTCAAAATGTTTCGACTTTAGAGGTCAAAGTCGAAATGAAAAGTCGAAATGATCGAAATTACGTCATATCACTAAAGATGATAAATGGTCCTGAAAACTTTGATTTGTAGCAGTCCTACACATAAAAAGACCGGACTCAAATAACCGCAGTTCTCTACGGTCTTCTATTCATGTGATTAAAATCAAAAAACTAGCAGTCTTTTTGTAAAACTTCAGTCTTTTTTTAAAAACTGCGGTCTTAAAAAGACCGATCAACATTATTTAATTAAGCTTAATAAATTAAGGTTTAAAGTAATATAAATATATGAAAGATCGACAATGGCTGAATTTCGTTACATTTTTTTTATTTTTACAATGACTGAAATAAATGATGAAAGCAGTTCTTCTTTGATAACAGTGGAAGAAAATGAAGCTGAGACTGTTCCTTATGATACTTTTGTTGAAAATGAAGCTTTAAATATTGATACTAGTTTTGAAGATAATCTAATGTCAGAAGAGGGAGATGCAGCAACGGATGGGGGATCATCGGTTCATTCCACATCATCAACAATATGGAATTTTTTTACACGAAATGAAAAAATTGAAAATGATGAAAATGGAAATGAAATAATTGTAAAATATATTATTTGTGATGTTGGACAATGTCATTTTTTAGGAAAAAATTCTACATCTACTCTTAAACGTCATTTAAAAGCGCGGCATTCTGAAGAATTTATCAATTTACATCAGTCAAAATATGCTAAAAATTTGGAACCATAGTTACCTGAAGAACAAAAGAAAAAACATATATTTTTAGTTAATTGGGTAATCATTGATCAACAACCATTCACTCTTGTCGAGAATCAAAGCTTCAAAAAATTTATGTTAGAAGTTCAGCCTAGATATACAGTCAACCCTTGATATAACGAATTTTATGTCCTGAACTTCAACTTCGCTATAGAGCTATAGTGAATTT